TAAGCAAGGAACAAAGACAAAACCTTGACAATAAAGCCATTCCTTGTATATTTCTGGGCTATGGAGATGAGGAATTTGGCTACAGATTATGGGATCCAGAAAATCGAAAAAATATCAGAAGCAGAGATGTAGTGTTCCATGAGCAAGAAACTATATCTGATTCTACTTCAACGGAAACAAAAGAACCAAGTGGAAAGGTGGATCTTTCACCTGTCAAACCTCCCGGAGATGCCACAGCAGGGGGAGAGTGTGATGGAGAACTCAGGGTTGATGATGAACCAGCAATAGAAGATGGTGATGGTGAAGGTGTCGAGCAAGAAGACCTCGAAGCTCCACCTCAGCTCAGGAGATCAAATCGAGCGATCCAACCGTCTACGAGATACCCTAGTTCCACGTATATTACCATCACTGAAGAAGGGGAGCCAGAAAGCTTTGAAGAAGTACAGACTCATAAGGATAAATCCCAGTGGATGAAAGCCATGCAAGAAGAAATGGATTCACTGATGAAAAATGAAACTTATGAGCTTGTGAAGCTTCCGGAAGGCAGAAAAGCCTTGAAGAATAAATGGGTGTTCAAGCTTAAGAAAGATGGTGACAAGCTGTTGAAGTACAAGGCTCGCTTAGTCGTGAAAGGATTTGGACAAAAGCGAGGAATAGACTTTGATGAGATATTCTCTCTAGTTGTAAAGATGAGCTCTATTCGAGTAGTACTCGGATTGGTGGCTAGCTTGGATCTGGAGCTTGAACAACTAGATGTGAAGACTGCATTTCTTCATGGAGACCTAGATGAAGAAATCTACATGGAGCAACCAGAAGGATTTGAGAAGACTGGAAAGGAGCACATGGTCTGCAGATTGAAGAAGAGCTTGTATTGAATGAAACAAGCTCCAAGACAATGGTACAAGAAATTTGACTCGTTTATGGCGAGTCATGGATATACCAAGACTGATGCAGATCATTGTGTGTTTGTTAAGAAATTTTCAGGTGATAAATTCATTATTCTTTTGCTATATGTAGATGATATGTTGATAGTGGGACAGGATATGAAGTTGATTGGTGATTTGAAGAAGGAATTAGCAAAGTCCTTTGAGATGAAAGACTTGGGCCCTGCAAAACAAATTTTGGGCATGCAGATCATGCGAGACCGAAAATCCAAGAGGTTACGGTTATCGCAAGAACGTTATGTGAATCGGATTCTGGAGAGATTCAACATGAAATCGGCTAAACCGGCCAATACACCGTTAGCCAATCACTTCAAACTCAGCAAACGAAGTTGTCCTACGAGTCAAGAAGAAAAAGAAGATATGGCAGGTGTTCCATACTCCTCAGCAGTCGGGAGTTTGATGTATGCCATGGTCTGTACAATACAAGATATCGCTCATGCAGTTGGAATTGTTAGCAAGTATCTTTCCAATCCTAGAAAGGATCATTGGGAAGCTGTGAAGTGGATCTTGAGGTACCTAAAAGGCAGTGCAAATAAGTCCTTGAGCTTCGGAAAAGGAAACCCAATTCTTGAAGGTTATACAGATGCGGATATGGCAGGTGACCTGGATAGTAGAAAATCTACTTCAGGGTTTGTGTTTACATTTGCAGGAGGAGCTGTATCTTGGCAATCTAAATTGCAGAAATCTGTTGCCTTGTCGACTACTGAAGCAGAGTATATTGCAATGACAGAAGCAGGCAAAGAAATACTTTGGCTGAAGAGGTTTCTTCAACAATTGGGAATGAAGCAGGAAAGGTACGATGTCCATTGCGATAGTCAGAGCGCATTGGATTTAAGTAAGAATGCGATGTATCACTCTCGCACGAAGCACATTGATGTCAGATATCATTGGCTACGTCAAGTAGTGGAAGAACAACAGTTCAAGTTGGAAAAAATTCACACTGATGAGAATCCTGCTGACATGATGACGAAAGTTGTAACAGGGGGAAAGCTTCAGTTTTGTGCCGAGTTGAATCGGCATGGACTGCATGTGAAGATTTGCAGAATATTTTCCTTTGGCTGGAGGGGGAGAATTGTCATATCCAGCCAAAATAGTGGTTGTCTCCAGCCACAAACAAACATAAACAAACAAAATAAAAGGAATCCAACCATGTGTCACAAACACATACAGCCAAACTTTAGTTGGCACCGGAAAGGAAAAAACGTAGCTATATGGTACAGGTTTTATGTGATATCCTCACCATAAATAGTGGGGGTCTTCATCACGGAAAGACGCACCAAGGAGCAGAAAGAAAAAGAGAGAAGAAATAACATCTTGTGAGTGTTATTTTTCAGTGAGATAAAAATAGAGTGTTTGAGTAAATCCTGTGAGTGTGGGAAAAATACACCGGGTTGGGTATCAACTCTATTACTCTTTGTTTAAGAGTGGGGTTCTCACTGGGTCACTATATTTTACATTTCTAGTGTAAGGGAGTTGTGAAAAGATATTGTAATTATCTTGAAAATATAGTGGAATTGTTCGAAGGTTGTCCCGTGGTTTTTTC